GAGTGTATAGCAACTCCTCCAAAATAAATTTTTAATATACTTTGATATTTCTATGATGGTATTCATTCACTTTCTAAATTAACAAATCTTAACACTTAAAATTATACTCATCTTTTCATTATTATTTTTTTTTATCTAAATTAACAAGTTTCCTCTTAAGGGGAGATTTTATTAATCGCACAACTAATCACTAATTTTTACCGATCAAAAATATATATATATATATATATACACAAATACACAATGTCAACAAAGGATACCAAATTCTTATTTACCATATGTAATATTAATTTAAGATAGTTTGAGGGTCGTGTTACTTTAGTCTCTGACTTTTCAATTATGACACATTTGATTCTGAATTTTGAATCTTGCTCTAAATAAGAACAATTGAAGAGAGTATTGCTCAATTTTAGGGCAAAGTTGTCAATTTAATAAAATATAAACTAATTTGACAAAACTAAATGTCAAAAAATATGTTTGAATTTTTAAAAATAATTTCTACCCACCAAAGATAAAATTATTTAAAATTGATAAATCTTTTAGACATTAATTTATTTATTTTCACCAAATTAATTTTTATTATGTGTTTGGATGATGATTATGTAATAAGTGGTTATTAAGCTTTTAATGTGTAATCGATATATTTAATATATGAATTTTTTTTTAAGTTTTTTAATTTTTTGGATTTTAATGGATTTGTTCGTCTAATAATGATATCAAAGTATGTGCGGATATTTGGACTCTGAAAAAATAAAACTATTAATGAAAAGTAAAAAAACACCAATCTACATGATTATCATCAACACAATAATAAAAATTAAGTTTAGTAAAAAAATAAATATCTAAAGATTTATCGTTTTAAACTTTTATTTTATGGAGTAGAAAATAACTTTTTAAATTTTAAAATATTTTTTTTGACAATTATTTTGTCAAAATTAAATATGTATCATTTTATCAAATGGGATTGATTTACCTTTTGAAATTGAGCAATTGTATCATCAAGTTGTCACTTTATTTAGAACCAAGAGTCAAATTCAGAGTCAAATGTGTTACAATTAAAAGTCAAGAATCAAAATGATATAAGACCAACTATAAGACGGTTAATCGTGTATTCCCCCATTAATCTAATATATTAGATTAGTACATTAGACTTGTATACATTGATATTAACATTACAAAACTATTAGTTATGGAACTTATTGCCAATTATCGGTCTATACGACAAAAATTTAAAATGATATTAAATTAAAATGTTGGTAAATCTAACATTACTGTGATAAAACAGTTCCTGATTTTCTCTTAAAGGAAAGAGTTGATTGAAAACTATCCACCCAAAAAGCAACAAAAAATCAAAAGATAAAAAAAAAAAAAAAATATTGTCTGAGCAAAATAATAAATAAATCTTTTTGATCATGTCCCCATTTCTAGTCTAAAGGCACTTGAAAGAAAATGACATCGAAAAAATACAATAAACCGTTACTTAATGTAGTTGAAAGCATTAAACTGTGGGGCCAAAGCCATAGTTTAGCTGCAAACTGCATCTTGCATTGTTCGGTTCCGCAAACAATGCTACAAACCAAAATTATTATTCAAAACGAATCATTGATGTGGGCCGAAAATTCATCTAAGCCATGAACCCCACAATACAATAAATTACAATTTCAGCCATGCGACTAGTGCTCGAACAGTATCTTCATGGCAACTTTTTTTAGGTTCCATTGGCTTAGTGTATCGGTTAGCAATATCTTTCAAAACAAAAGCAGGATGCCCAAGATCTGACAACAATTACTTTATACAACATGTGATTCAGTTTGGTGCTGTAAAAAAACCCATCTGTTTATTTTGTACTACTAGGACAAGATGGGAGCATAACTATAACACTTACATTTTGGGCTGCAATGTTGGTTTATACCAGAACACTGAAGCTACCCAGTTCATCTTCCAAATCATGATGTGCAGCTTTCTTTTATGCCCAAGTAGATCATCACTTTACCTGTTTTCAGAATCACTGAAAGGATAACTGAACAAAGCCTATTTACAGCGCACCGAATTCTTCATCTTAGTATGTCAAAAATTATGCCCTCATCAAAGATGGCAATAGCCTCCCACGTCTTAAACTACATCAATCACTGTTAAACACCTACTCCACTAACCTACTACCTACTCTTACTCCACCTACCACTGACACCTAACTCCTCTACTCCTACACACACCGTACCTACTCTACTCTCTATATATAGGAATCATTGTAAAGCATAATCGAATCAACAATCAATAATACAATTCCCTATTTCTTTGTATGACATTGAATTTAACATAGGATATCAGAAGCAGGTTAGTAAATCTTAGTATTTTTCGCTTCATCGGCGGGCGGCAACCGCACCTTAGCGTCCGCCGGACCTCAACCTAGTCCCATAGAAATTTTCTACACATATTGAAATTTCTTTCAAGTCACCACGCTTCACGCCAAATCCTTCGAGTCCCTGTCCCTTTGACTCAATCCAGTCAACCCATCACACCAATTTTTTTTCTTTTCTTGAAGCTTCCTCTGGTTCTTTCGCCCATCCCAGTTCCTACTGCATTTTCCAAACACAAACACAAGTTAAAAGAAATCCAATTCTTTTCTCTCTCTGTTGTCGCCTCTCTCTTCCTATTCTATTCTGTTCATCGACGAGCACATGGGCGGCTCTGGCGAGGCCGCGATGGCGCAGCACCCAAATTCCAACCGACGATACGAGGGCCGTGGGAGTTCTGGTCGAGAGCCAGCAGCGGTGCGGCTGGCGGTCGCGGTGGTTTCGTCCTTCAAGCAAGGCAAGCTCTTCTGGTTCAAGGGAATCCGGTCAGCCGCGCGCCTCCAGCCACGTGGCCGTACCAATCCAGTGGGCCAACTATCGCTGAGAGAGATTTTAGAAATGTGCTCGACTTGTCGTAAGTTTGCTACAACTGTCATTGGAGAAGATTGTGGAAGATTGGATTTCAGAATCTATACTGAAAATCAAGTGCTCTGAAGATCCTCCATGGAAAGTCAATGTGTCCTTGTTCATTCTACCACTTCACTCTCGTTAGCGGAACACTTCAGACGTCTTTCAGAAAAATATGATATGCCGCCCGCCCAGGATGGGGATTGAGAGGAGGAAATTAGGAAGTTCCAGTAGTGCGAGTACGTGGTTACTTATTCAATCAACCGTTAAAAAAAGCGCCCCCCACCCAAGCTGGTCTAACTTTTTTATTATATTTATTATTATATCAAATAATCAATTTACATTCAATGTTTCCACTGGCAGTGTTCACTTTTGAATCCTCCCACTTCTTTATTTATTTTTAAATCATTTTTCTGTGACCTTTCGCCACCACTTTTGAACCCAACACCATTTTCAAGCCCTACATTTCTCCTTCACTTTTTCCAGCCACCCACAAATACATTACTGATGCTCATATTCCTACTAAATGGGGTCCCTTGTTCCATCTTTTCATACATACTCATATCTCTCATAGAGTATATAGAATATATAGTATAATATTTTGTGTATATATATATAAATAAAAAAACCACTTGTCATTTACTTCAATGCGGGGGATCAACCGTATTACAATCTTTTACATTAAAACAAAGAAACAAAAAAAAAAACACAAAAAGAAAAAACAAAAAAAACACACACAACCCTAAACGCTACACAACCACAGACCTCCGAGCAGCGGTATTTATATACTATAATAATAATAAAAGTATATATGGTGGTTACCTGATAGACATCAGTGGTGAGCACTCCTCCGCTGTGTATACTTCTAATATGACTAAATAGAAAGGTATGGCTACAAGATATATATATCATCGCTTGTAAAAGTAATGAATCATAAGTACCTCTTTAGTGATAGAATGGTTATATACAGACTATGCATTATAAAATGTCGATAATGCGTCGTGGGTGTAAAATAACTAAATCGTACAATAAGCCGGTGGCTTCCGCTTGCAGCTCTTGTTTTTCCGCCTTTAGTACACATACTATATATCCCGTCACGACCACCCGACATCCTTTACATGTGTGCATTGGAGCAGAAGCCAGATTGGGCGTTTAACATGCTGAACTCGACTTTGTCCTACGTCTGACAGCGGAATGTGCGACAAGTTTGTAACCGCAGTCATGGTCTCCACACATGACTTCAAGGTATACTGATTGGCCTCAACATCCGATTGCACTGCCATTTTTTGCTCCACAGACCGCATAGGAAAGTTCAACGGAGCAAAACCAGAGGCGCTTGGTTGAGGTTCCAGGGCAACCGCACCAGTTATCTCTCTTGTGGACTCGTTGAGGTCTGGAAAGAGCGTGAGCAGACCACGGGAAGAGGACGCCATGTTTTGGGTTGCTGAGTGTTTCAGAGAAGGGTTGGATACAGAGTATTTATAGAGTGTTTCAGAATGACAATGCTCAGAGGTTTCAGCCTGGTTTGGTTTCCACAGCCTCCGCATTGGTTTATATCGACAGTGACGATGCGGCCGACACGCCGCTCTGTCGTTCACGTGCCTCGCCGCGTGTCCGGCTCACCTTTTGATGGCTCGACGCTTTCTGTCGGGCACGACTTTTGATGAAGTGGGCGCGACTTTTGAGGGCTCGATATATATATATCCATGTATATATATATTTGGGCAGCCTATATACACCATCATACGGTTAGCTTTTCCAACGGTCCGGCATGACCCCATAAAACTGTCCCGACATTGTTTCCGGTTAGCTACTACATCGGTCCGGTGTGACCTCGTCACCTGTCCAGACATTGTCTTCCACAACGGTCTGACACGACCATACCGTGTCTCCTATCCTATTTTATTTTATTTATCAGTTTCCTTTCCTGTTTTGTTACTCTCTCCAAACTCAAGTTGGTTAGTATCTATCCTCCTTGAGTTTGCGAGGGGCTGTTAAAACCTACTCCACTACACCTACTCCACCTACCACTACCACCTACTACCACCTACTCCACCTACTACACACCTACTTACTCTACTCTTCTATATATAGGAATCATTGTAAACATAATCAATCAACAATCAATAATACAATTCTCTATTTCTTTTTATACATTGAATTTAACAATCACATCCTGTTATGGCACCAATTGAAATCATCAGTCATTTTTGGCAATTCCACAGATATAAAACATAGCAAAGTAATTTATCACCAAGATCAAAATGTTGTACGTCTCTGAGATAAAATTGAGTATAGGAGAAAGAGAGAAGAAAAAACACATCACCGAGGGGTTCTGTCGGTCAATGTCAAGAGTTCAATGGGTTCCTCACCTGTGCAAAGGAACAGTGTGAAACAAATCAACCACCAGATAAGAGAGGTTACAGATTGTCTGAGGCAAGTATTCCTTTTGTAGAGGAGGCAAAAGGTTTAGATGGGTCAAAACAAATAATACATTTAAAAAACCTGACCATTTAATAAACGGGTTTAAGTGAGTTGGGTTGAATTTGGTACACAGGTATGGAAAATTAATCTGATCAACCCATTAGCCCGACAAATTAACCAGATCAACTCAACAGGTATACAACTCATTTATAACCTGTTTATTTATATATTTTGACGAGAGTTTAAATGGGTGAAAGTGTGCCAGCTCTATCTTTTTGCCACAGAAAATAAGAAATATGAATTCAGCCACTTAGCAAATAAGATGACCTCAAGCCTTTCCGCTAGAGCACTCAAATGGAAATAGACAAAATGGCGACAAACTTCATACCGTGTTCAACAACAGCAAGGATTCCATATTCTGAGCAGATCATAACAGGTAACACCCGTGATTTTGACATGTTACCAATGTTTGAAGAATAGCTGTCATACTGGACCTCCCAAATTTCACTCTCAGATAATGAGTGGGACTGAAACTCACCTGCTGCAACCCCATAGAGAACTATTGGCTGCTGTTGCCACCGAAGATCCCATGCAAATACAGTACTAGAAGAGCCTCCTGCCTTCATGTAAAGCAGCATAATAAATAAGCAATCTCGAAAATTTTCTCAAGTCAGAGCACAGAAAAACAACTTATTCAATTTCCAAATAACCATGTAATCCAATAATTAAATGTGGAAGAAATTCAATGTGATCACAAAATCCTTTGAATCATCACCCAACATGAAATTTAAGCATGTAAACCAATATATTATCATGATCAGTCAAAATATTCAGCTTGCATAAAATTCATGTAGAATGATTTTGTTCAGATGCTTACAAAAATAGCCATCTTAAATGATTTTTTTTTTTTTTTTTGAACAGTAAAAAAGGGTTCTCCTTGGAGGCATCATCTTAAATGAATGTTAATAAGCAAAATTCCTGTCTGGTATATTTAATATTAACAGGGAAAAAAAAAGAGAAAAAAAGAAAGAAAAGAAGCAATAGTTGAGAAATCAAAATTCATAGACTTTGACAAGCTAAGGTTAAGAAAGTGAATCATTCTAAACCCTTGGACAAAGAAATATATGCCATAGAAACAATTTCAGTCAGAGTTGGTAGTATTTGCGCCAATACATAAATCTCAATGATCATCAAGATGAACATCAACCAGCAACTAAACACAACCAGAGCTATCTCGGCTACTTAATCAGCAGACAATTAGAGATCCTAGTTATCTCAAAAAAACTTAATCAGTTGACTTAAGGACAGAATATCAGCATGCATCTGCAGCAGCAGTACAACAGCAAACTTCGTTATAGTGTGGCAATCAAATAAACCATATACTTATATAGCTGCCCAAACGCCTTATAATACCACAATATGATACATTTTGATAAGATCTATTTCTAACACAAACAACAGCAGGCTTTAGTTTATATTCCAAATCATCATCTTTATTATCTTTACCAAGTCATTACTGAACCTTTTAGCAACTAAGAAAACTACGGACAAAGCATAAATATTATCAGCCAGTGGATATTCCAAATATACTGTAATTTTGCGCCCCCCCCCAAAAAAAAATAAAAAATAAAATAATAATAAAAAAATATTAGGTGAAAGGGAGAGAGAGAAAGAGAGAACAATGGGGACAACTAAAACAAAACCCAAAAAAAAAAATAAATTAATAAAAATAAAAAAATAATATTAGGTGAAGGGGGGAGAGAGAGAGAGAGAGAACAATGGGGACAGCTAAAACAAAACCCAATAGTTTGTACACCCGTCTTATTGCCTCAGCATTTACTTTCTAATGTTTTTAATTCTTACTTGATGGACATTACATTATGCCCATGAGTTAAGCTTAGTGCATCAAATCTACATATTTTTATGAGAGGAATGAAGAATGAAAAAGCAGCATCTTACAATACAAGTGTATTTTCTTGATGGATGCATATCAATGGAGTGTACAATCCCAGAAGTAGTTCCATGAGCCCGGCAACATTATTAATATGAAGAATCCCATCTCATCACAACAAAAACAAACCATGAAAAAAAAAAAAACTGCTTCTACTCAGATGGACAGAGTTGAACCCAACTGTCAAAATATGCTGTTAAGATAGTGCAAACAGAACAAAAATAAACACTGAATTTAGAAGCATAATAGAAACTCATCAAAAAAAAATGACTAATACTACTTAAGAGCATATTAAGCTTCAAGAAATTCCTACATTGGTATGTTCAAATTATCAACAAATTATGAACTCCTCATGATCCTTGCATGTGAAGCGTATCACCATCCATCTTTTCTCTTTTGTTTATTTTCCCAAAATCAGAACTTTATTTGATAAGAAGCAATTTTATCAGAACATATAGGAAATAGGTCCCCTTAACACATTAGAGCACAAAAAAACAATGATTTCAGTTCAAATGAATAATATTATGGCTCCCAAAAAAAAATTCTGAAGTGAAAAAGAAATAAATAAATAAAGAACCTGAGTGGAGAACAAAATAATTCTCATAAAGAGCCGTGTTCAAAAAGGGGGATGAACAAAAATCTCACTAAAATGCTCAAATTAGAGGCTTTAACCTCGTGTACAGGCCTCCAAAACTCTACCAGACATGAAAACGTGATCAATAGGTGACGATTGCTAAATTAGCTGAAACCTCCAAGTATATAAAATCACATAACTCTTTGTACTCTCAAATATTACTTGCCAACAAGTTACACGTAAAGCTCAAGTGATCACCCTTTAAAGCCAACAACATAAGCTCTAAACATTTCCAACCATTATCTAGAACACACCTTTAAACCCACCTTAGATTGATAAAAGTACGTAACTACACACCATTATAAGGTGTGTCAAGATGGGATTCAAATCCTCTCCAACACTTTCTTTATACAACTATCATCCGACACTTTATCCAATACCACAAATGATAATGACTAGCTATTGAATTGTGACATTTAGATCAAGTGTTGAATGATGGTTGTATAAAATAAGTGTTGAAACTGGAAAGGATCTTCCCCCAAGATGTACCCAAAATAAAGGTTCATTTTCGTATGGGGCAGGCAACTAATAGGCATGATAAATTTATGACATCTCCAAAATCCAAAGCCAAATTGAAGTAGGACTTGGAAAATTCAGCCTAAATTGCAGTTTTCACTAGTAAAAGATAAAAGACAATAGTAGAGCAACCAATGCAATCTGCACAACACTGTCACTGAAATATATTTCAAATTGACATTCCTTTTTAATTTTAATTTAATATTTATCTCTACTTTTCAAAAAATGGGAAGATTCCCCCACCCTATCTCATGTTTTGACTCCTCTGCCTTCTTAATTTTATACTATTTTTTACCCATTTAGTTGTACTTATAAATAGGAGAAAAAGAATTAAAAACACAACAGAGATTGCTCCATACAAGGATTGTAGGCTTTATACTAAAATTTTCATGAATGGAAAATTGAAAACTAGCTGCCTAGTAATACCCAGACTAATCAATGGGAACCATGCAATCGCAGGGAATCACAGGCAGAAAAGAGCCCCAACATAAATAATCATCCGTCTCTTTTTAAATCTTTCCAAAAGGGAACATGGATTAGGGATCTTGTCTCTCTTCTTTCATTTGTTTGGGACATGGTAGGCCAATTTTTTTTAAAAAACTTACAACACAGACCATTGGGAAAGGATACTTTGAAGCATATTTCTAATCCCAACTCCATACTTTGAAGCATTCACTCTACATCATGTACACAAAACACACCCACATACATTAATATATGTATTATTGCAGATAGATTGTACCCTTGTGACATTGGATGAGTCATTGTTTCAACTAAAATATGGGCGGCAAATAAACATGATCAAGTCCAGACCTTGCCCATATGATTAACATGTATAATAACATTTGCCACATCTGAATCCAATTAGAATCCATATTTTAGATAGAAGTTTCGTCAAGAGGTTCCATGAGATCATTTTGAAGAGAAAGATTGCAAATTTGCATCCCAGGTTAGAAATCAGTTAGTCACTTGCCTACTTGCCACTACTTCTATCTAGATTTTTGGATGAAACTACAATGTTTAAAATGAGTTCTCCCATATAAGGAAAAGCAATAACAACCCCACAAGGTTCAAATTTTAAACAATAGCATGCCAGACAAAGATTCAAATTTCTATGCAATAATTGTACAAAATGGAAAAAAATAAATTGGTATTTGCTTACCAATTACCCTTGAACTGAGAAGCTGGTCCTCCAGGCTTTCTCTGATCCCACCACTGAAGACTAAACCCCAATCCACCGGTGGCAAACTCCATCGGCGACGCCCACTTCGCCGCTGTATACGACACATTGCTATCGAAAAATCGGCGGTGACTCAAATTCGAATTACCAACACTCACCAAATTCACCCTCCCATCTTCCCCAACACTAACACACTCAGACCCATTTTACTGCACATCAATACACGAAATGGGTCCAACGTGCAATGTCTTCTCAGGCACCGAAACCTCCGATTCGATCGACGCATCGACCGGATCAGCGAGCAGGACGTCTGAGAAGGTGGATGCGGCGATGAGGGGTTTGTGGAGGGTTTGAGAGACTTTGACGGAGCAAATTCTTGAGGGTTAGGACCATGAGGATTGGCGAGTTAGATTTGAGGGGTTTGATCGGGTTAGAGAGTGGATTTCGATGGCGGAGGAGTTGGAATCGGAGTCGAATATGGCGAGGACGACGAAGCGATCCAAGGCGGGAAGAGGTGGAAGCCAGCCGAGGGCATCGATGTATTTGGAGAGTGGGAGTCTGTGGACTTGCAGGGTCTCTGGTGTCCCGTTCACCGCCATGGCCAGGGTTTGTAAGAAAGTGAGATGTGGAGTGTTTGGCGTGGATTATTAGTATTATAACTTATTTTAATTTAAAAATTAGCGTCATATTGATCCTATTTGGTAGGACTTATTTCCAGTTTATTTTAATTTTTAGCTTAATTTAAGCTATTTTGATGTGTTTGATTTATCTTAACAATACAGCTTATAGTTTTTTGTAAGTCAAAAATCAACTTATTCTTTGAGTGGGGGAGGAGAAGCTTAATTTATAAGTAAAAAATTAGCTTATATTCACAGTAATAAGCTATAAGCTGTTAAGGTATAAGCTATAATCACTTTTCCACAGCTCTACCAAACAGGCCTAATTATGGGTTGAATGTGATGTTTTATTTTTTATGGCTAAAATAGTCTATTTTGTCTTTTGTGGCTAAAATAATTATTTTGGTGTAATTTTTAATTTATAATTTTAAATAAAAATAATTTAAATAATTTAAAAAAATTAATTATTTAAAAAGGTTGAAAGGAATATTTTCACTTTTTATTTTTTAATTATTAACTTTTAATTTATAATAAATTGTACAAACACTCATACTAGTGTAATGGAGGTTTTGGCCGATGTTCAATTTAAATATAAATTTAAAGAAAATTTAAATAGACTTGTAAATTGATAGTTTTATTTTGGTTGATTGAATGTTTAATTTGTAAAATTTTTTATGTATTTTACTCTCAAAAAATAATAAATGGATTAGGTAATTATAATATTTTATTTAAAAAATTAAAGAGCATGATTTTATTTAAAAAAATAGACATTATTTTTTTTTTAAGAATAATACAATCAGGTTAAAAAATGCGTTTATTAAATTGGCATTTTTTTTTTATTTTTTTTGTAGATGATATATAGTAAAAGATTTAACAATAAACGATTTGAATCATTAAACAAATACAAATACATAGGCCCTTTAAATTCTATCATTTAATATGCATTTTAAAAGAGAGTTTTTTTTTATTATAATCCTTTCTAAGAGTTTTTATTCTATCAAACTGGCATATTCTTTTTGACTATTTCATTAAGTTATTTGAGATAAAATAAACACCTCATTCTCTTGGCCCATTAATGTTCTCTTTTTGGGAAGAGTAAAAAGCCAGATTTTAGTTTTTTACCCATTTGGTCCAGATCATCTTCAAATTTTTTACTCACAAAGACAAAAATAGACTAAAAAAGCCAAAAAGCAACTTTTTACCACTTCCCCAAACTATAATGCGATCCCGGGTTTTCCCTTGTTGTCGAGGTGATCCGGATGTGTCGGTGGTGTTGGTAGTTGTTTATTATCAATGTTTGCATCTTTTAACTTTGTATAGGAGTTATACGAAGATGTGTTGGGAGGTTTTTGTTACAGGTTGGTTTGTGTTTGGGGCCTAGTGTTTGCTGCCTCAGATTTTTGAACTTCTGTGAGGGAGTTTGGTCGTCGAAGCGACGAGAGTGAGGTTTTCGTGTCTGGTGGGCCTCGAGGCAGGGTGGCCTTTGCTGTGCGATGTTGTTTGCGTTGGTTTCTGGACCTGAGAGTATGCTATTATCCATCTGCTCGAGCGAGCTTTTCGGTGGCTCGAGCGGTCTGGTTTTTTCTTCGCTCGATACGAGACTTCTTGGCTCGAGGAGAGTTTCTGTGTCGGTCGATCGAGCCCAAAGGTATAGAGGGCGTGTTTTATATCGCGAGAGTAGCGATTTTGAACATCACTTTTTCACTCCTTTTTCTTTCAAAACTAAATCCGGACACTCTCTTCTCTAAACTTTCATTCTCTCTAAGAATTGATCTCCTAGAGTGTGAATCTAGCCTAGGGCTTTTGTTAAAAAGATAGAGGGGTTGAGAGCTTTGATTTAATCTGAAAAGTTTGGATTTGGAGCAAGTTGAATTGTCGAGTCTTCATTCCTTTGTGGTTAAACTTCGAGGTAGGGATCTACTCGTCTCTATGGATTTTGTCTTTAATTTTGGGTATTTTTGAATGTTGGGCTTGGCTATGGTATTTTGTGAAAGTTTTTTGGGGCTTTTTGTGCAATTTTACAAAAGTTGGGGTTTTATTCATAATAAACTAGATGGCATGTTTGGCATGAGAAAATGGATAATGTTTAAATCATTGATGAAAATGGGACCCTAAGGGTTGAAATGGTCATTAGAAAATGGCCTAATACATTGTTTTGTTAATTGGGATAATTAATGGGAGAAATGAGGAAATGAATGTTGATTGAATATCCTTGGTGATTTATTTTCTGTTCAGAAATTAATGCTTTGGGCTATCGGTGGAGGATTAGTCGTGATTGTTGTAAGACAATGCATGATGATTAGGCACACTGAAACTAATCAATAAATGTGTCATGGAACTTGACGGTTGATAGAAGTAGATTAACTGTATGTATTGGGTGATTGTAATATAGACCATGTGGTTTTACGTTATGTGTAGAAGGAGGAGATAGGGGATGTATTGCGGGTTTAGGGAAGATAGGGATGTACTCTACCGGATAGTGTTGGGAAGATACGGAGGATGCACTCGCGTAGACACGCTCATATGCTTTGTTAGGAAAGTGAAGATATGAGTTATATGCTTATCTGTGAATGTGGGATATTGTTATTATACATATCTGTTGAGAATAGTGATATAGCTTTATGCTTATTGAATGTGGGATATAGTTTTTATACAATTGTGGAAATGATGATAGAGCTAGCATGCTTTCTGTTGAGAAGGGAAATGAAAAGTAACTTAGACTCATAAGTTGTATGACATAAATGTGGTAATTTATGTGAATGTCTGTGTTAGCATTATCAATTGCTAATCTTTTAGTCAATTGTCATGGTTGGTTTAGTGTATTTCTACTCGGGCTTGGCTCAACATATGGATATTATTTTCAGGTGAGGTAGCATGCCACTCCAATTATGCGCACAAAATCGTGAATCGGTGGAAAGTCTTACTTCGGTATTTGTACATTTGCCTCAAAAATGTGCGAGTTTCAATGCCTAAAAAAAGAGAGCCACTAATTGATCAATCATGAATATTTTTTCTTCTCGTCATTCCCTTGAAATTGTAAACAAGTCTTTCTCTCTTCTCTCTTCATAGTGACCATCTCTCTCACCGGCGTTTTTCCTCGTCTCATTACCAATTGTCAATCCAGCCAATGCACTCACTCTCTCCTCTCTCTCTTTCTGTTCTCTCTTCTCACACCAACACACCCAACACACACAACACACACACACACAACATAACACAAAACATTTGCTAACAATAACTGTTGATTTGTTTTCTAGTGTGACCAATGCTCATATCTTTTACATGTTTTATTTTATTTGGATTCACAACTAGATAAGTTAGTATTAGAATTTTAAATATGGGATAATTACTCTTATAAGTAAGAAGGAAACCTGATGGACGAATTTTTCTAATAGAGTTTATCTGGCATCTTCTCTCTCTATATAAGGATGAGTGACTTCCTTTAACATAAGTGAGTATTTTTTCATCACTCTAGTTCTATAGTTATCTAATTAAGAGAGACAGAGAGAAGTAAGGTGAGCTAAGAATTAAGGGTTCAACTTTAGGGTATTTTCTCACTTTTATTAATTCAGATACTGACAAAGGTATGTTTGTTTTATTCTTGAGTTGTATTGATTCAAGATCCTACAAAGTTCAGTTCCGGTATTATTATATGGTTCATGCATGTTTTATTTAATGTGGTATAAGGCCTTAGTTTGTGATAATACACATTGGAATAATATTATTATGAATATTGTTATTAATTATTAAATTATAATTATTTCATGATAACTAGTGTAGTCCTTGTTTTTTTTGTGTGCCTCTGAAGCATAAATGCTGAGCCAATTCACTTAGTAAGGTTAAAGATGGTGAGTAGGGCTATCGGCTCCATATGAGTAGACCGAAATTGCATGATAACGTGTAATAGATGCTTCGTTTTATTATTAAATTTTAGCAATTAAATAATTTTTATAATATTTAAATTGACACTAAATTGATTTAATTTTATATTGCCTGCGTTAATGGAAAGTGCATAGATTATAGCAATTTTAGAATTTTGTTGAATCGTTCGGCCTATAAATAAACTATATTTTTATTTGACTGTATTATGTTAAGAGATTATGTTTTTAACTATTTCTGATTATGGTACATTATTGGTCTATTAATTGTTGAAATTATTATATTTTTCATTAATTAAAATTGGATATATGATTAATTAGTTCATATTAGGTGCATTCTTATTGACCATTATATGAGATTATTCATGATTGTCATATTGCATAATTTGATAATTGATTTTGTTTGTCCAGAGTTATTTATTATTATTATATTGATAATGTAATACATTAAAGAATTCTAAGAAATCATAAATAGTGATTTTTTTAAAATGTGATCGAATTAATGATAATAATAATCAAACTAATGAATAGAGAAATATTGTTTCGTTAGTTTCTGAGAGGGAGTTTTTATGTGCATTAGGGCCGAGACTAGGCCGGATAGTGTGGGTTCGCTCTATGGCCGTGGTGGAAAGGGCTTAGCAATGACTTGCTGTTAGCTCGGTTGAAGTATGGTTCAGTTAACAGGTTCGGACAGTGGTTGATAATTAGGTCAGTCATAGCATTCGGTCAGTCTGAGGCGCTTGAATGTTGCAGAGCTAAGCGTTGCTTGTGGGCGCCCGAGCTGAGCTGTCTGAGGGATTGCGGATGCTCAGTTGTTTGTCATATTTACCGCGGTAAGATATTCTGCTTGGTTAAAGCAGTGAGAAGGGTGTTGAGGAATAAAAGCATTATTTTCAGAGATGTGATTCCTAGGAGGACTCTACATGAGGAGTAAGAGTTACTAGGGATTGTTGAGGCGAAATCTAATAAAAGCTCATAGAACGTATGGTACAGGTATCACACTTTGATTTCGAATACATAGTCTTTATCTATTTGTCTATTTGCTGATTTAGGCATCAAGAGAGGTATTCCGGACAACCGCCGGCTAGCTCACGTTTGTGTTTTTCAGGGAAGTAGAAGCCG